GCCTCTGCCCGCCCGGCTCGCCGCACAGCGCGAGGCTGTGGAGCCGAGAGAAACACCTGTTCCTGCTGGTGCGCCACAGAGATGCCTGCCACATGCATTTACCCAAGTGAAACACACAGCAGAGCGGAATGGCAGTGTTGTCCATATACCGCAAATCCCGGTGAGGGAGTTGTATTAATTTCAGTAATAGATATGCATACCTTCTTACACTACCACTACATTTCAATGTGTGAGAACACCACAATGAACGTTTTTATTGTATCATGTTTCATCGAAGGGTAGAAGGGACTTTCAGACTGACCATGTCCCACGAGACAGGCCACAGCCCTAGCAAACCAAGCTCACAGAGAAGAGTACCGTAAAGCACCTGGACACGGATCTGCTCTAGCAGGTGCTTTTAGCAGCTTGGCCATCCTGGTGAGCTCCAACAGAGCGGTCACTGCTGCCTCCTTTCTTGCCAAGGGCCCATGTCACCAGAGGAGGTGACACCCCTTCGCAGATACTCCCTCGCAGCACCAGGGCCCGTGGCGGCACTGTCGCTGTGCCCACGCCGCTTGCAGCAGGTCCAACTTCTGAGCACAAGCAGGAAAAGCAGGATGCTCCCAAAGGAAAAGTACTCCCTGTGACCACCAATGGTTTGGTGCGTGGGAAAAATAGCTTGCTGGACGCGATCCGCATTCATGCTGATGCAGTCCCAGGTACTCCAAATCCTCCAGAACAGGTACGTTGTGGTACCTTACCCCACTCCTTCTCCAACATTGATGCCATTAGGCTGAAAGCACCCAAAACCCTGGGAAGGCCTATTTGCCTTCTGGCTCATTCTCTGGTTGGTGAACAGCAGTAACCTTTCTTGTTAAAAAAAGAGCTGGCTTGAGCTCACCCATAAATGCCAGCAGCCCTCTTGGAAACAGTCTAATGGCAGTCCAGAGACAGTCAGAGGAGCCAGTGGAAACAGGGTTGAAACACAGACAGACCCAGCCGGGGCCCTGTGAGCAGCTGGGACTCGACCGCAGCAGCTGGCTGCAGCGTTCTGTAACGCACCAGTCCGCTCACACTTGAAACGTGGTTTGTCATACAGTATTCTGGATTTCTCTGTAGTAGTAGCAGATTACCACAGTAGCAAGATAAAGCTTGTGCAAAGAGGGTTTTCTTTGTTTGGTTGGCCTTTTAATCAGCTGGTACCATTGGAGGAGACGGGGTTGAGCTTCTAGAGAGACTAAGTGGGCATTTTTAGAACTGAAAAACCGCAGGGCACCTTTCACTCACACTCCATGCATTTTTCATTCTTTGTGAAAATCTCCACCTTCCTCTGATTTAGCCTCTGTCATTCCCCTTTGCTTGCACTGAATTTCTTATACTCATTTTCCCTGCCCGAGTTTCTGCCATAGGCTAATTTCCTTTTCTTACTTCCATTTTTAGGAGGTCATTTCCTGGAATTCAAAACATAATTTGCTAAATAAAGACTAGTATTTCAACAATGTTCAGTATGATATGAGATACTTCATATTCTATAAAGCCCATACATCGAAAATATATCGAAAATATAAATATCCTATCTGTATTAGCTCTTTTCCTTTTTTGCTATTAGTTGATTTCTGTGACAGGAATGTCAGTTCTAAAGGCGACTTCTGCATGAAGTAGCTGAATACCGAGAAAAGTAACATACCTTTTATAGTGGTAAGAATGCTATGTTATTTTGTCGAAAGCAATCAACCTGCCCCCACCTGCCATGACAGAAGAGTTCTCACACTTTGAATCGCACAGACACTTACTGTAACAAACCTGCTTTGCATTTTTGTTCATAGTCCTGTTGTTCTGAGCCGCCAAATGCAGAAGTCTACTATATGCATTTTTGTGGAAGGAATCATGTAACCAGTGGGTGTTTCCCAGGATTCATTTTTGGGTGCATGACTTTCAGTTTGTGCTCTACCCTATATTCATTTCACGAGAGCATTATTTTGTTAGTAATGAACATCTACTAGTTAGGTACTGATTTTTTTGATCATCCTTTTGAAGATGTACAAATTACGTTGCATTTTATAACATCATTGTTACATAACAAATGTAGCACAAAGTCACATTCTCCAAACAGAAAACATGCCTGCACTGTTTTTTATAATACACGCTAGTAGCTTTCTTGTCCTTAGCGTTTAATGGTCTTTTAGTAGATTATCTCAAGGTTCAGCACAGCAGTCAAGATAAAAGGAGGTCAGAAATATTACTCAACTTGATTAAAGGCTAAAAGAAACTATGTAGCAGTCAGTCTGCAGGATGATGTTACTAATGAAAAAAATAGCAGCTTTCCTCTCTCTCTTATAACATCATTAATTATTTAGGAATCCATAAAAGTTGTTCAACAAGAACAACTGTTAATACCTAACAAAAATGTCTGTGACCAATGTCTGTCAAACCAGAAAAGTTTGGCACCCCTGTAGATATGGGAGAGGTCACTGATACAGTATACTCAACTTTCCAAAAGGTTTTCAACAGGTTCCTCACCAAGGGTTTTTAAGGACGCTAAACAGATACAGGACAAGAGGAAATGGTCTTGCCTAGATGAATCATCCTTCATTACATGAAGGCAAGGTTAAGTACTCAGTAAGGAGGTATTCTCACAGTGGAGGAAGGGGGAGTCACCAGTGAATTCTGCAAAACTTTGTGCGTTCTGATATATTCATCGGCCACCTGAAGATCGACAAGGTGAAAAGGTTTGCTGGCAGTAAATATATTATCTCAGATACTAAACACAAGGGCCAACAGAACACATCCAGAAGAGCCTTGCGAGACTTGGTTAAAAGTGCAAGATAAAAAAAGTCCACAGATAAAATTCAGACAGGTAAATGCAAAACATTTATGGACAGGTATCCTGACTCTGAATACAGAACTGGGCTCCAAACTGGTGATTACTATTCAGAAGCAAGGTCGGGGGTTATGAGAAATAATTCCATTAAAGTGTCAGTTCAGTATGTAACAGCAGTCAGAGGAAAACAAGTCAAATGTTAGGAAACACTAGGAAAGGTATAAAGAACATTATTCTCACAGTGTATAAACTCACAGTTCACCTACATACATACTCCTTATGGTTCTGGTTCTCCCCACCCCTCATCCTGCATCTCAAAAAGACTATAATATAGATCATGAAAAAAATTTAGGAAAGAGTTTCATGGGTATTCAAAGGCAAGAAATGGCTTGCAGGAAACAACTGTGTAAACTCAGAGTCTAACAAAGACATGACTGAGGAACAAATACAGTAGGTCCACTGAACTTTGCATGGCTCATAAAGGGTGAACAGCTATTGATAGTTCATTCTCTCTTCCAACAAAATGACTAGAGGGAGCCAGGTTCAAAAACAGACAAAAATAAAGTGCTTCCTCATGAAGGGGAGATGGACTCTGAAATTCCTTGCCACAAGGCAGTGGGCCATATCCCATGGGGTTTTTCCAAGCAGATCCCTGAAGAAACCAAATTCTGCTCTGAAGTCTAGGGCTGTGATCCTACTTTTGGCCTCTTCTGTATGGTTCTATATAAAATAAAGCTTAGAGTAAGGAATTGCTGGAGAGAAAAAAAAAAAAAAAGAAAATAAGTACAAAGACAAAATCAACACTCCATCACATCTTTAGTAATAGAACCAAAAGATAATAAAAATAAGAACGGGGAAGCTCAGGAAAAAGTATCCTTGACAACATTAATTGTCTATAGGGATGTTGTATAGAATTCTGGGGATTGAAATCCTCTATCTCATCTCTGTATCGCTTATGTCCAAGTTCTCAGCCCCTTTTCCATGGACAAGGAGCTAGTTCAAGTTGAAATGAGCTGTCAGTGATGGATCTGCTCTTAGCAGACAGAACAACAAAGAGTTCTCAGACTTACCAACATTGCATAACAATATACAAGGCATACACTTGATTGCTATCAGTGTATCACTAGACATACAAGTAATAAAAACGACACCTGAGAAGTAATGGAAAGAATTAAAATAATGGAATTTTTCAGCCACTGCTTTGACCTGGTCTATACTCAAAAAAATGCACTGCTTTCTCCAAGTTACTAACTTACATGCGCTGCTTCAAGCTTGTAATACATCTTATAGTAAATACTTGTGACTAAAAGGGAGTGCAAATTTCCAAACACTGTAGTGTGCTATCCTTTATTTACTTGGAGAGGTCGATCAAGACAGATGCATCGAAGTCTCCTGGAATAAGTACTGCGCTTTGTGAGCAGGCTAAATAATTACTTTTATTCTGGAATAAAGAGCACATTCTATTCCAGTCACTTTCCTAAGCTTTTTTTAGAATGCTGAAATATGTAAGAGTAATAGATATTCTTGGTGAATTGAATTCCCACCCTCCCAACTCTTTCTGCTGTTAATCAGACCTGAGGGAAATGACATTTACATGAAATTTGAACTGCAAGTTCTGTACCTTTAGAGGTCACCAGACTGAACAAAATGTAGCTCTCAGACATCCTACGAGGATTTTGTC